ATGTTTTAATAGAACTGCCGTTTCTAAGATATTAAGGATAATTTAGTAAGCATTGCAAAACTGCCCGGTGGTATTGAAATCAAAGTACATTTCTGTTGAATGAAAAGAAGTTCTTGTGTTACCCCTCAATCTTGACCTGCTTTTATGAAACAAAATACTATTGTTGTTTTATTGTTTTATTTATTATTTGGTGGCTGTCATAATTTTTGGTATAGTAGTTGTGACTTATTCACACTATATACATTTTGTATATGGCTATATGGCTATTATGGTCAAAGTGTTATTCAATTAGCGAAGAACCAAGTTTATCATGCAAGGACGAAACACATTGATGTTCGGTATCATTTTGTACGAGAAATCATAGAAGAAGGTGGAGTCACGATGAAGAAAATTCATACTACAGAGAATCCTGCTTATGCTAACAAAAGTGGTGACTACGATCAAGTTTCAACATTGTTTGGATTTGATCAACATTGTTGAACACTGAAGATTGAAGATGAAGACACAACCAAAATTTGTTATTGAGAGAGAATTGAAAATGTGGAATTTTGCCAAGGTGGAGATTTGTTGAAGTTTGGCAAAATGTCAAAGTCCCACATCGGTTGGGAGAAGAGTTGGGGGATTTTTCCCCCTATAAAAGAAGGCCTAATGTTTAGGATTTAAACACATCTCTCATTTGCCTACTCCTCGGACACAACCAATATTTTATTCCACTCCAAAAATACAAGTGAAATAATACTAAAGAGAGAAGATACAAATGTTTTAAACAGATGAGAAGGCAAATGAGAGGTGTGTTTCAATCCTAAANTGAAAAAAAAAAATTTGGAGAGGGGGTGGGGTGGTTGGTGAGGGTGGGGAAGGTTGAGAAGGAACTTTGGAAAATGTTTTCCGTTCTCTTGGTAAGGAAAACATTTTCCTCCAATTGGAGGAAAATGAATTGATAAGGAAAATATTTTCCAAAACATTTTAGCCAACCAAATATGAGAAAATTGGAAAACATTTTTCGAAAAATATTTTTTTTCATACCAAACACACCCTTAGTGTTGAATCTTTGTGCTTAAAGTTAAGGTCATATGATTAGATCTATCTGTATGATTCGATGAATCACATTTTTCAGGCAGATTTCAGTTGGCTGGGATAGCTTACGAGGGGTTAGTGAAATGTTTGTGATAAATAGTTTATTTTCTGTTTTCCCTTTGTTTTAATAGAACTACCGTTCTGGGTTTGGTTGAACTGGATATAAAGAGTTAGTGAGCTTTGCAAAAGTTTCAGGCGGTATTGCAATCAAAATATATTTCTGCTGATTTTAGGTTTCAACTTCATTTCTTTATTCAGTATGTTGCCAGTGATTAAAAAAAAACTTTCTGGATTTTGTATGGGTCAAATCCGACCGACGAAATTCAGTACAATGGGGTGATTATCGTGAGTAATTTGTAACTTCTCATGGGCAATGAGGCCGAATTTGACCAGTGATCAACGGAACGAGTCGCCAAGCGGTCAACCACGGCCGAGGTCGAGTAGAGCAGATAGTAGCAACGACTAGTTTTATATTGGGATCTTCAGAGGGAATATTCTCTTAAATATTGTCTCTGGTTGTACTTTAAATGTTCTTTGGGAATATCCCATATAAATAGAATGAGAGATAAGGCAACAACAACAACAACAACAACAACAACAACAATAACAACCCAGTAGAATCCCCCTAGTGAGGTCTGGGGAGGGTAGGATGTACGCAGACCTTACCCATACTAAGAAGGGATAGAGAGACAGTTTCGGGAGACCCTCGGCTCAGAGACAATAGATCTCTAACCACAATAGAAACCAGAAAAATAGTATCAGCATCGTAAAATACAACAAATAAATGGAAATGCCAAAATGTCAAATACAACAAAAATAAAAATCGTTATTCGACTAATAAAATAATAAAATAAAAATTACGAAACACAACAAAAATCGCTAGCAATCCTAGACAAACACTATCAGACTAGCCGGTGCAGCGAGGAGAAACGCTCGACTACCCTCTAACCTACAACCTTAATGTTCGACCTCCCCACTTTCCTATCAAAGACCATATCCTCGAAAATTTGAAGATGCGCCTTATCCTGCCTGATCAACTCGCCCCAGTACTTTTTAGGCCGCCCTCTACCTTTTCTCGTGACTGCCAGAACCAAACACTCACACCTTTTGACTGGAGCCTCTAGGCTCCTCCTTCGCACGTGCCCAAACCGCCTAAGTCTCGCTTCACGCATCTTGTCAACCACTGGGGTCACGCCTACCCTCTCCCGAATAACCTCATTCCTAATCTTATTCATCCGAGTATGCCCGCACATCCATCTCAACATCCTCATTTCTGCTACTTTCATCTTCTGGATATGTGAAATCTTGACTGGCCAACACTCAACCCCATCCAACATGGCCGGTCTAACCATCGCTCTATAGAACTTACCTTTAAGTTTCGGTGGTACATTCTTGTCACATAGGACTCCAGACGCTAACCTCCATTTCATCCACTCCATCCTGATACGGTGCATGACATCCTCGTCGATCTTCCCATCTCCCTAGATAATAGCCCCTAGGTACTTGAAACTCTCTCTCTTAGGGATGACTTGTGAGTCAAGCCTCACTTCCACATCTGCTTCCCCCGAAATGTCGCTAAACTTACACTCCAAAGATTCCGTCTTGATCCTACTCAACTTGAAACCTTTAGACTGCAGGGCCTACCTCCATTCTTCCAGTCTCGCGTTAACGCCGCATTGCGTCTCATTAATCAGAACTATATCATCAGCGAACAGCATACACCAAGGCACCTCCCCTTGAATATGGTGTGCCAGTGCGTCCATCGCCAGGGCAAATAATAACGGGCTGAGTGCAGATCCTTGGTGTAACCCCATAACCACCGAAAGGCTCTGAGTCACCTCCCCATGTCCTAACCCGAGTCTTAGCTCCATCATACATATCTTTTATCGCCCTAATATAAGCTACCAGAACACCTTTCACCTCCAGGCATTTCCAAAGAACGTCCCTAGGGATCTTGTCATACGTCTTCTCTATGTCAATAAACACCATGTGCAGATCCCTCTTCCTATCTCTGTACTGTTCCACCAACCTCTTAACAAGATGGATAACTTCCATAGTAGAACGACCTGACATAAATCCGAACTGGTTCTCTGAGATAGACACCGCCCTCCTTACCCTCCCTTCCACCACCCCCTCCCAAACATTCATGGTATGACTCAGTAACTTGATACCCCTATAGTTGTTACAATTATGTATATCACATTTGTTCTTGTACAGCGGAATCATCGTACTCTACCTCCACTCATCTGGCATTCTCTTCGTCCTGAAAATAATATTAAACAGCCCAGCCAGCCACTCCAAGCCTGCTCTACCCACACGAGAGATAAGGCAAAGGCATGTAATATTTGATATGATAAGAATACTTTTGAAAAGCAACCTCTCTAGATAAATACAAAGAACAACTTTCCAGAGAGATTTGATTTCTTTAGATTATATATATTGTCATTTCCACCAGACCCGAGAAAGTGCTCAATATTCTTTCACATTTCTATCATTCATCATTGTCAGAAGTAAGAATCATTCACCACATTCAATATTGGGTGAATCTTCCTCCTTATTTACATTTATTGCTATTTATTGTTATTTAATACTTGATACTTCATGCACATTATTAAACTGGGTACATTTATTGTTATCACATTAATTTCGTTTTTTCAATGCTCATACGTTTCGTGTTGTTAACTTTAGATATAAAGTTATTAACTTTAACTAGGATTAACCCTCCTCGTTAATTGATTAATTAGTTTAACCAAAGATTATCTTTTTTGGTCAAACATTATTTTAATGACATAAAATACTATGACCAGTCATACTAGTCAAAGTAAGTTTATTTTGATGATAGATGAAGTGATTTTAATGATAGTAATCTGTGTCTTGCAAAATAGTTATTGTTTAATATGTGCTCTGTTATTTGAGCTTCATCAATTAGAAAAGCTGCCTCGGAAGCAAAAACCAAAAACTGTAAAAACTTCGATGACAATACGTGCTAATTCTTTCTCAAAGCTATAATCTCTTTTTCCTTCATCTTCTAGTTTTCGATACTCTTCCACTATTTCCTCTGATATTATTACACTCCTACAAAGAGGATAAGTTGCTTTTCTATCTTTGTGCATTCATAGACATTTCTCCCTGCAGTTTTCATGAAATATATGCTTACAACTTTCCAGTTCTCTCCCCTTGTCTCCATGCTCATTTCTCCATTTCTCCCTTCATTTTCACATTGAAGCTTGAAAGAAAAAGTCAATTAAAAGAAATTCATAAATATCTCTTGCCAGAGATGGACCTACTATTAGGCGGTCGCGGGGACACCATACATTTAACATAAATTTTCACTACTCATAAAGATTAATACAAGGGCCTATGCTAATATATAAATATTTCTTGAGGATATTTATAAGTATAGACATAGATTTTATTAGAAATTTCTGGATGTCGTTGACCCCTCTCCCTATAATGTGTGCTCGCCTCTATCTCTTTCTGGCGATTCTTTAAATTGTTCTACTCGTTTAATAATGTGTGCTCGCCTCTATCTCTTTCTGGCTATTCTTTAAATTGTTCTACTCGTTTAAGGATACTCATATGATCTAACAAAATAAAATAAAATAAATTAAAAAAATAAACAAAGAAAAGAAGCGAGGTCGCTGAACTAACTCTTCCACTACTTCCTCTGATATAATCAAACTCCTACAAAGTATAAATTATAATGTAAGGTCCACTGCTGACTGCTCCTTACATGGATGTCCTCTCTTAAAAATTAAAATTATGGATTTTGCTAATCGTTCTTTTTTTTTTTTTTTTGGTTAAAAATTGTAGTCTGTACATCGATCCTGCTAAGGAAGAAATAGGCATCATCGTATAAAAAGCAAAAAAGGATGATGCCATATATAACAGATGAGGATGTAATTCATCCTTTCTAACAGAAATGCAACTAATTAAAGTCTATATTAAAAAAGTCTTCTTCTTGGTTCTGAATCTGAAGCTAGTCACTAAGCTTAGACATTAAATCTTCCAAGTAAAGTTATCCAAGTAAGCATACATTTTTCGCATAAAGTTGACCATTTGCTATTAGGAACTGGTAATTCATCTCTAGTAGTATTTCTTCTAATTCTCTTCTTCTTGTATCCTATAACCAGGGACGGAGCTAGAGTGATCGGAACGGGTTCGGCCGAACCTAGTAACTTTGGTTCGAACCTTGTATTTATCTTAAAAATTTCATTGAATACGTATATATTATTAATTTAGAACCTAGTAACTTCAAACGATTAGAATCCCGAACCTATAAGCTTGAAATCCTGGCTCCGCCTCTGCCTATAATAACCTGACAATAGCAGCTAACCCGATTAAATTCAATAAGAAGGAAAAGACTAGAAATAAAAAAGGACTTAGCGACTTGAGAATGAACTATAAACTTATTTCATAAATCAAAATTAGTATGAAATTTTAGATACGGTTTTTTCATTTAAGATCGATCAAAAACTGACGATCTCCATTGCGATAAGATAAAAAATATAAATAATCATAGTTCTTACAAAAGACGGTTCATGAAATATAACAAGATGACAACAGATTATCATATCGTAATGAAAGATAAAATTATAGTTTATCCTTAATTTTTTTTCCTACTAACCAGGGATAATAATGACATTATATAAATTCTGTCAATTTTATTTTTATTTTTTTGGGTTGACTTTTTGGTCAAAGGGAATATTGTTACCCTACCCTAAAAAGGTTAAAGGAGGTAAGATTGAATTTACTCTAGTTTAAATTCTATGCCAATATACACATAGTGAATCTCCTGTCCTCTAGAAGTGAATTTTTTAAAATAACTTACTTAAAAGTACGAAGGCCCTCAGGGAAATATCGTTTGCCTTTTTTACCTTTTGAAGAGAGATTTCACAATAAACAAAATAGTAATTTAATTATTTTCCTAATAGTTAGAACTTCC